TCACCCATTACCTGTGTATGCTTTTTAGTGCTGAAAATATGAAAGGAAAAATAATTTTTAAGAGTAAGAAGATGTGATTGCAAATGAGCTCAAAGTAGCAGATGAGGAAATGTAAAAAAAAAAAAGTAACTGAACAGATTTCATGTTGCCTTCAAGTATCATTTTAATTTACATAAAATATTTACGGGTAAGTAATTTTTAAAAAATAAAGTATCATTAAGATTATTGTTTAAATGTACATAGTAGGTGACAAGTACAGGACTATAAATATAAGCCCTGGTTTACATTAGGGTAAGCTTTGGACATTAGCTGGTTGATAAAATTGATACTTTGGGTATTTTCAAATCACCAAAAGAAATCTCAAATTTGTTTTTAAAAAGTAAATAGCACTAGTAACTGTCTGTAAATAGACTTCTATACTCTATATGTAAGCATGTGCACATACTGCTATACAACCTGGACAATTATAAGACTATATTTAAAAAGTAGATTTGTAGTTAATGCAGTCTGACTAAATGAAATCAAAATTTTCTTTGCTCTAATACCTAAAAGAGATTCCTGGACAAAGGCATTCACTTGGGACTTGTAGTGGGAAAGAAGTGCCCTATGATTGGCATCTTCTATACTCTTGCTCTTTATCACTTATTAGCAAATCCTGCAAAAAACATCATCTGCAGGAGAGCTAAAGCTGAAACAAAACCTAATCAATTCAAAACTTCTCCCATGTCTAAGTTCAGATACTAAGACACATAAAGCATTCAACAGGAGATGCTCGCATAATCATGACTACAGAAGTGAAAATATACTTTTGCAAACAAGTTTCATTATCCATACTCCTCCATTTTTGACTAATCTAAAAATAATTCTAACAGAGAGGAGTTTCTACATCTTTATAACTGGAATTTTTAATTTGTGTATTGTCTATCACAGAATAACTCTCAGAATCCATAAACTAGGTAGTGGCATACTGGAAGAAGACAGTTCTTCTCCCAGAGTATTTAAAATCTATTAAATATTGCTTTAATATTACTTAGTAGGAAAAAAAACCCAGGATGCTATCCATAAGAAAAAAAAAAAAGGAAACTATTAAAAAGAAAAAGAAAAGCATAAAATCATCACTCTGCAAATTGTAAATTTTAAAATATTATTTGCTTGTATATGTGCATCAAAGTGCAGCTGTATCTAAAGTTAGAAATGACAATCAACAAGTTAGTAGCCTCCTAAATCCCATATTTTTCAGGAGATATTACTCATAATTCAGTCTAACAAAAAATGATATGGGTTGGGATATGTGGAAATGTGAAAAGTTAAACAATGACATCTAATTATGCCTTGGGATCCTATTTCTAATGACCCAGATTTGTGAACTATTTCCTAAAATTATTTTTTATCTGTCCAATAAAGCATTACCCAGAAAAACACAACAATGCTACAGTGCACTAACATCAGGCAATATTAAGAGTACATCATACACAAAAGACAGTTCTCCAAAAATAAAAGACATTTTAGTCAATTTTATAAATTTAAGGTGCTTCTCATATGTCTGCTTCGGAACTTTCAAAACTTTGAATGGTTTCTAGAGGAGAATGAAGATGACAAGCTTCCTGCACTTTTGAAAACCTGGTTTTCTTTTGCTAGTACATAATTTCAGAAGCTAGAAATGTAAGTAAACACCAAGTACTGTAAGATTCATAAAACACAATGACAAGTGACACTACAACTACATATTATGTCCTTTCAAAATCACATTGATTTACAAACTATGCCTATAGGTGCACCAGAGATCCATCCATCAGTTACTTCACAAGCAATGGCTGAAAGCATTTCGAAACTTTTGTATCATTGAGATGGCTGGGAAATGGAAAATCATCTGGATATTCCAGTCATACTGATGTAATGTAGGCAGCCAAGCATCACAGCAGGCTTCCTACAGAACAGACCTATAGCCTGCTTTCAATGTTTTTGGATAACAGTCCCACAACATAGCAAGGCATACCCAGAGGTTGTGGATAGCACCCTGTCACTACTGCTTTAATCAATTTTAAGTAGTGAGAAGAAGGATCTTCTTATGTACCTGCGTCATTCCACTTTCTGTCATCCAAAGCCGTGAGCTGGCACGTCATAGACTACTCCTAATTAAGCATCAGGGGCATCTAAACAAAATAAATATCCCTGGACAGGGATACGCTAATGCTAGTCCCACGCAAGCATTACAACAGTAAAGGGATTCCAAACAGATGAAGCCAACAGTTCAGACTGTCAACTCACTGCACAGACAAGGACTGGAGTTAAGACTCACTCCCTGGACTACTCCAAGCATTCAGGATATGAAATACTGCCCTCACAATATTTTTTTTTTCTCTACTAATGACCCAGATTTCCACAATGGGCAAAAGTTCTTACCTAGTGCAGAGTTGAGTTCTTATGCCACCCCTTATATCTTGCATTTTTTCACATAATTAAAGAAAACAAATACTGATGAAAATGCTGTTACATACAAAATAAAGGGGAGAGAAATAAGTAAGGGAAGTAGCTGAAAGATCACACCAACAATCAGTCAGTCTTGTGGGTTGGATCTTTGAGAAATCCAGACAAAAGGAAAGAGAGAAACACTGTGAGAAACTATGTTCTTCTGTACCACCAACATTTCTTTTCCTGACTTTCTCATCGAATTTTACAGGACCTACTCTTCAGACAGAGAACAGAGTACTCTTGCATGTTCACTTCTGTACTGAAGTCTATGTTCGCAGCCTTCAGTAAAGCTTTTCTTCTTCTGTTTCTCAGTAAGGTAAAATAGTGTAATTTATCTATATGCCTCACTGAGAGGTTGAAGTTTGAAGTTACATTACAATAGGAGGTATTGTAGAAATGCTGGGTATGTTTCAGTAAGAAGTATTAAAATTATTCTTTAGAATAAACTACTGTACCCCAAAATGAAAATCCTCCTGCACTAAGTTTTCTCACACTATGGTATAGGCTTGCTGGTTTATATTCAAGATTATTCACATTCTGGATAGAGGAACAAATTTAGACTTTGTTGTTTTTGTTGGTTTGGATTTTTTGGGCTTTTGTCTGTTCTTTGGGTTTTTAAAATCATCTTATCAACCAAAACAAAAGCTCCTAAATTAGGAGGTTTGAAAGATCAATGAAAGATAACACAAATTTATATACAAGCAGTTAGATTTCCAAAAAGAGAGTGACAATGCTCACTTACTTAAACAAGTACAAACAAAACTTAGTATCAAACTCAGTAGCACCTGAGTCTACTTACAGATGCAAATCAGTTGTAAAATTTTATTTTTAAAATGTCCTCTTTTTGTAAAAATCTGAATATAATTGCCAAACCCCAAAAAACATTGATTTGCAATTAATTTCACCTCATTCTAGAAACAGCTTATCCTCACTGTTAATCAAATATACTGTATATCTTATCTATTATAGGGAGTTAGGAAATAAATACTTGACGAAAATGCAGCATTTTGTGAAAGAATGGTTATACAAGCATCACAAGTCAGGAAACACACAGGTATTCAAACTTGTTAGCAAGAAAAGACCAGGTTGAGTCGGTCTGATCTCACTCCCTCTGGAAACAAAGTTTCAGATTCATACAGTGCTGAAACAGCCTTGGAAACTGTTGAGTTTGTAACTTATCGATGCATACGCAATAGGTACTGAGTAACAAGATATTTCGGCTGCAATAAAAACTGAAAATGCAGTTCTGAGAATAATATAATACCAGGCAGAAAACTCTTAAAACAGAGATCGAATTGGTGCTAAGAGTCTCTAAAGCCAAGAAAAGCACAGGGAATATTACACTGTGGGATTAAACTGCACATGTGTGCAGATACTTCATCTGGCATGCAGGCACACTTCAACAGAAATTTAAAAACAGTCAATAACAAAGAGCAGATACTTGGTAAGAGCAGTCAAGGCAAGACAGTAGAGTATTAAGAAGGCATAAGCTGCATCAAAAAAACTATCTTCCAACTTAAAATATTAATTACAAATGAAATGGTTAAAAGATGCTAAAATATCATCAGCTGACTTTGCAAACATAAGAGTAGGAAAACTAGCTTAATTAAACTAGTTTAATTAAAACTTTCTTATAATTTCTAATTGTATATGTCGCTGTTCAAGTACTCAGTTGATGAAAAATATAAAAATAAATTTTGAAGTAACACAGCACTTTTATTAATTCACTTAAAAAAAAAAAAAAACCTGCAGAAATGTACCTGTATATTTCTTACAAATCAAAATCGGGAAAGAAAGTTTACTTATGGACGAAAGATGTCAAAACTCAATTTCAAATTGCAAAACCAAAACACATACAGACCATAGCAGATCCTGGCACAGAGTTCCCAGATAATGCAAATCCTCAGCTTCCAGGATGCAAAGGAAGTGCACACTCTTGTGCAGAAGCACACCTCTGGATGTAGGTGTCTATTGTGATGGTACTTTGGTTGAGAGCATGTTCTTTCATAACAAATAGCATTATGAGAGCTGTCATCATCATTGTTTACAAGCAGAATCCACCATACAGCTCCTCTGGGCTCACGAACTATCTTTATCACCTTTTATACTACTTTCTACACCGTTTCTAGGAAAGATCCCTAATTCTGTATGGGGTTCTGTGAAAAGAAGGAGCAACTGAAGAGATAATTGCCAATAGCCCTGAACAAGCTTTGCTTTTTTTTTTTTTTTTTTTTTTTTTTTTTTTTTTTTTAACTAACACACACAAAAAAGCAGTGTAGCTTTACAAAATCTGCATCACTTTCACAACTTGCACTGAAATTTAAAGGAACTGGTGTATAAAACCACAACAGAACCCGCTCCCAAACCTATGTGTGGACGCTGCTTGTCCAGGTGAAGTTTCTCCGCCCGGGGCCGCTCCAGCGCCTCGGCCCCTGCGGCCGCCCTGACCCTGCGCAGCCCCGGCTGCCGCGACCCCCGGGCTGCGCGCAGAGGGGAGCGGCGCGGCGGGCCGAGCCCCGGGCTCCTACCTTGTTCGAGGCCATTTCGCTGACGGAGTGCCTGGTCTGCAGGGTCTCCAGCTGGTCCAGGCACCAGTCCAGCTCCTCCATGGTCTCGCTAGCCAGTTTTTGGTAGGCCTCCTCTGCGAAGAGACAGGGAAAGGAGCGCTCAGTTCGCAAGCGTTTCGCGGGGAGCGCCAGCGCGCCCATCCTCTGCCGCCGGGTGCCCGGGCACGGGCGCTGCTCCCTCATTCCGCCGGGCCGCCCTGCCCCTCCGCCGGGCCGCGCCCCGCGGAGGCACCGGGCAGGGCACCGGGGTCCTGCCGGGCTCGCCCCTCGCCGCCCGCCCGGGGCCGCTGCCGCCCGCCCGGGGCCGCTGCCGCCCGCAGCGCCGCCCCCTCGAGGGAGGCGTCCGGGGCCGCGGCTGCCGAGCGCGCCCGCGGCCAGCCGCTCTCCGGGCGGAGCGCGGAGCCGCCCTCCCCGTCCTCCTCTTACCTACCGACCGCGACACCATCAGAAATTAGCCGGGTAACCTTTATAGAAGCGTAGGGGAAGGTGCAGGAGCACATGTAAGCGCTCCGAACAACGCCGGCCCGCCGAAGCGCCAGCTGTCAAAGGAGTGCTCGTATAACTGCAGTTGTATTTATTCTAACCCAAAGCCTGTGTGTGTGTGTGCTAGAGCAGGCACAAAATATTGCACTTTGGCTGTAAGCATAAAAGAACAGATGAAAACTGGATATAGGAACACAATATGGAAAATGAACCGAATAATGGTATGGAAAAACCATGGTTTAACCTAAACTGCTAAATATTCAGTTAGAACTAACTGTCTTGCAGAAGTTTCAGTTAAAGACAGGAAGACATACCCTTCTTCAGAAACTCCACAACAACCGGAAATCTGTTGTCAGTATGCAAATAATTTAAGGAAAATAATCCTATATACAGCGTGCAAGCCTCACCTATCAAGCCTGGCTATTTTTCATTCTAATGTAGATCTGAAGGCAAGAATGCTTCTCCACATTGAACTCAGAGCTGACTGAGTTTTAGCTCAGGTATTGCATCTTGCAAGCTGTGTATCTGAAACATCAAGTTTTGAAACTGCTGGCATGGACACATCTAGATCAGCTACATGCAAACATTCCTCCAAGTCAGAGAAATGTTTCTTCCGTGCACTGGTTTTGAACATCTGTAACATTTCCCTTGACTTGTTTCACATCTATAACATCTCTCTTAACTTGTTTCACATCAAATTAACCTTATTTTCAAAATGTCATACAAGCAAAAAATCAGGAAAATAAATTAACTAAAACTCCTTTTCAAATAAAACATCCCAGGATGGACTACTGCCAAATAGCTCAGTGCATTACTGTACAACATCCTGGATGCTAGACCTGTATCTTTTTATGTTTCTGAACACATGCTTAGAAACTTCAAGTTTCCTCACAACTTTTAAACTTCACATACCTGTGGCTATTGCAAAAACACCACACAATTTTGAATAAAGTTCACTATCATCTGGAAAAAGAAAATTAACACAAGGAGAAGTTTGAATGGAGATTAATTGGCAGAACCATTTAAAGAAAATTTTGCAGTGCCTGCCACTTCAGTAAACACATTAACCAACACTCAGCAAAAACACTTCCCATTAAATTGTAAACTCTGTCATTCAGATGCATATTTACTACAAATTCTCTCTCATCCAAACGAATTCCCTGGCCAATAAAATCAGCCTGTTTCTCTATTGAAAGTGAATGCATGATAGTCTTTAAGACAACACATATCACAGATCACCAGTTCTTGAACACAGTAAAACAAATTTGTATGATGTTATTTTCCCGCCAGCCTGAAGTCTGCCCAACAGTAATTCTTGAAAATCAGGTATTGGGAACCATGTTTTTCTTAACAAGATCTTCCTTCTCAGCATCCCTTCTAATATGTAAGAGAGTATGTAGATAAGGTTTTTTCCCTCGAATATGGAAACAACAAAATAAACCCAAGGGATAAAATATTTAGGTAAAACTAATAAATACTCAGTTTGCTATTTATTTAGCAAAAATATATACATTATCAATGGCACCTTACATTCAGGAATCTTTGTCTACTATTTACCTTAGCAGTACATCTCAAAGCACATTAGAAAGCAGAATCCATCACTCACAAGTACATCACCCTCAGGTTGCGTCTTAGAATCTCCCACTTCAGACTGCCACACTTCAAGAGTCTGTGACTGCTGTGGAGGCCCGACTGACCACTCAGGCTAAGGAAAATTCTGATGGCCAATGCTAGGTTTAAGATTTGCTGGACTTGGCACCTCCTGACAATTCTTAGAACTCAGAGCTGTCAGACCAATCTTAAATGGAAATAAAAGGTTTTCTAAATGATGGCAAAGTACCCATCAAACAAGCACACCTGCAGTCCTGAAGGGCAGAACAACCGTAGGAAAGCTTTTTTCTGAACAGTACCAAAGCTCTAAATTTGGCCCACACTTTTGTTGTTATACAATGTGGTGAAAAATGTTGAGGTTAACAGCTTTTCAAATATAACACTCTAGTGCCACTAAGCTAAGAATAAAAGAATAATTATCAGCTGTGCAGCTTTGAGAACCTCACAACACAGTTTCTGACTTCTCTGTTACCTCTAAGATAGCACCCTGTAATTAGATCCAGGACTGATCTACCAATAGGATTTTTTGTTTTAGACACGTGATCGAGCTTTCCCACCCAGACGATGCAGTCTTAAAACAGATTGACTTCTGAAAATGATAGGCATCTTGAAATGTCAAAGGTTCTTTAATGTCTCATTAGGCTCTCGTATGAGGAAGAGACACTTTAACACCAGCTGCTTTAAGAATTTGCGTGTTATTTTGTATATGCTTTTAGAAAAACGGAAGTGACAGCAAGTGTTGTCTTTTCAGTTTACAGGTTAAAGGCAATTCCAATATATGTAGCTTTCAGTATCACACATAGGAAAAAAAAAAAAAAAAAAAAAAAATTTAAAAAAAAAAAAAAAAAAAAAAAAAAAAAAAAAAATGAAAGGCTAGCAGAAAGAAAAAGCTCTACCATAATAATTTGGCACTGCACAGCTATATTTTTAAAGCGTATTCTATTGTCTGTGTTTATGGAAGTCTTGATTCTTAGCACAGTGCCTAACACATCACCATAGATGGCTGTACTTTAACTCACATGGTTATTTGGGAACAATTCCTGTTCAAAAATTTTGAAGGGAAAAAATTACTTCATGGCAATATTTATGTAGAGTGTCCACTTTATGTAATGGTTTGTCATGATTTTAATATATTAATTCATATATATAATTCATTATATATAATACAGTAACATAATTATTACTATATTATGATAGTAGTTATTCTGCTACTCCTGGAGAACAAAGAGCAATATTATATTTTTCTGCTCAACTAGAAAGGCACTCAAGTGTATTTGTAGTAATCTTTGTAGTATTTTAATGAATTTCAAAACAGCAAAATCAAAAAATAAGTACAGATTCTTCATTATTGTCTGATCAGTTGAGATCATCTAAGTGATGCAAAGATCCTGGAAAAGATCCTGACTCAGCAAGCACACAGTAAAGGCCTTGACAACATGCCTTAAAATGGGAGTGTCTTGGAGGCAAGACAAGAACTCTGCTAAGCAGTGATTTGATCCAGAGGTTCTTGGCATGTGTACTGTCTTTTGGATCTGCAGGCTGCTGGAAGAAGCTCTGAAATCCTTGAGGCTAAATGAACGGAAGATACAACCAGAAAAGGAAAGTCTAAGAAGGTGTGCACCCCCTGATAAACAATGCTAAAAATAAACTGGTAAAAACAGATGAAAAGAAAGTTGAGGTACTAAGCAAGTTTTTGTCACAATCTTCATTTCTCTCTTTGCACATCTCTTGAGACGACAGACGGATGGGGACTGGGATAACAAAGCCATTGTAAGGGAAGATCACGTTTGTGACTACTTAAGGACCCCTAACATAGATAAGTCTATGTCAAGGTTACTTCTGTGCCTGGTAAGATCATGGAACAAATCCTCCCAGAAGCTGTGCTAAGGCACATGGAGGACAGGGAGGTGACTTGAGACACCAGCACAGCTTCACCAAGGGCAGGTCCTGCCTGAGCAATCCAGTGGCCTTCTGTAGTGGACTGGCTGTGTCAGTGGACAAGGGAAGGGGTGTGGATGTTCTGGACTTCTGTAAATCCTTTGACATGGTCCCTCACATCATCCTGCTCTCTAAACTGGAGACAGATGGATTGAAGAAGTGGATTATTGGGTGGATAATGAATTGGTTAGATGGTCACATCCAGAGGGTTGTGGCCAAGGGCTCAGAATCCCAGCAGACATCAGTGACAAGTGGTGCCCTCAGGGGTCTGTACTGGGACCAGAGTTATTTAACATCTTCATCAGTGATGTAGACGGAGGGATCAAGTGCCCCTTCAGCAAATTTGCAGATGGCCCCAAGCCGAGTGGTGCTGCTGACACACCTGACGGATGGGATGCCATCAAAAGGGACCTGGACAAGCTGGGAACATGTGGTCCATGGGAACTCCATGAGATTTAATAGCCCAAGTGCTTGTGCTGCATCACGGTTGAGGTAATCCCTGGTATCAACACCAGCTGATGAACAGACCCAGAGCAGCCCTTGGAAGAAGGACTTGGGGCTGCTGTGGCTGAGAGGCTGCACATGGTCCAGCCATGGCACTCACAGCCCAGAGAGCCAAATGTGTCCTGGGCATCCAGAGCCCCGTAGGCAGCAGGGGATGGAGGGGATTCTGTCCCTCTGCTCTGCCCTGCTGATACCCCACCTGCAGGGCTGCATCAGCTCTGGGGTCACAGCACAGGGAGAACATGGAACAAGTCCAGAGGAGGCTACAAGCATGATCCACAAGCATGATCAGAGGGATGGAGCACCTCACCTATGAGGAAAGACTGCGTTAGGATAATTTAGCCTGGAAAAGAGAAGTCTTTGGGGTGACCTAATTATGGTTTTCCTGTATCTGAAGGGAACCATCAAGGAAGATGGAGAGAGGCTTTTTACAAGAGAATGTAGTGACAGGACAAGGGGAAATGTCTTCAAACTGAGTGAAAGTAGGTTTAGATTAGGTATTGGGAGGATGTCTTTATTGCAGGGGTGGTGAGACACT